GGACAATACAGTGGCTTAGTACAGGACAATAAAGTGACTTAGCATGGGACAATACAGTGGCTTAGTACTGGACAATTAAGTGGCTTAGTACAGGACAATAAAGTGGCTTAGTATGGGACAATACATAGGCTTAGTACTGGACAATTAAGTGGCTTAGTACAGGACAATAAAGTAGCTTAGTTCAGGACATTAAAGTGGCTTAGTACAGGACATTAAAGTGGCTTAGTACAGGACAATACAGTGGCTTAGTACAGGACAATAAAGTGGCTTAGTATGGGACAATACATAGGCTTAGTACTGGACAATTAAGTGGCTTAGTACAGGACAATAAAGTGGCTTAGTTCAGGACATTAAAGTGGCTTAGTACAGGACAATAAAGTGGCTTAGTACGGGACAATACAGTGACTAAGTACAGGACAATACAGTGGCTTAGTACAGGACATTAAAGTGGCTTAGTACAGGACAATACAGTGACTAAGTACAGGACAATACAGTGGCTTAGCACAGGACAATAAAGTGGTTTAGTACAGGACAATAAAGTGGCTTAGTACAGGACAATAAAGTATCATTTGATTTGATTTCTTCTGAACAGCAATTAATATATTTGCATGGACTTATTGTTGGATAAATGGTAATGTCTGTGTCATAGGTCACGCACTTTAGTATAAAAATGGTAATGTCTGTGTCATAGGTCCCACACTTTAGTATAAAAATGGTAATGTCTGTGTCATAGGTCCCACACTTTAGTATAAAAATGGTAATGTCTGTGTCATAGGTCACACACTTCAGTATAAATATGGTAATGTCTGGGTCATAAGTCACACACTTTAGTATAAATATGGTAATATCTGGGTCATAGGTCACACACTGTAGTATAAATATGGTAATGTCTGTGTCATAAGTCACACACTTTAGTATAAATATAGTAATATCTGTGTCATAAGTCACACACTTTAGTATAAATATAGTAATATCTGTGTCATAAGTCACACACTTTAGTATAAATATGGTAATGTCTGTGTCATAAGTCACACACTTAAGTACTCTTTTGAAATGATTATTTTTTTCACATAGAGGGAAGTCTTGCATCAAAAATGTTAAGATCCTGATTAAATATTAGAAATAAAGGGAATAGTCAATACAGGTATCTGATTTAGAACTGTCATGGCCACAACAATTCCTCTATATTATACAAGGTATCAAGTTATCTGAGTTCGTAATAATTATAACAAGTGTTGTTCAATGAACTGATTAGGATAGTGTAATGAAAGTTGATCATAGTACTGTGGGAATTAATGACAGATATCAAGCTCCTGCTGTTGTCTTATCGTTGTATTGTTAAATGTTAATGATGTGACATAATTAAGACTGGAACTGAAACCTAATTTAGAAATTTCCTGATTTGTATCTTACAGGTTAAAGACACAATGATCGTGTTTGGAGGCCAGAGTTGTGGCACTCTAAATAACTCTCTATGGATTTTTAATTTCTGTAAGTAACCAAGGGTTCTCAAAAGTTCTCAAGGTGAAGTAATTATAACTTTAAAATTCACGATGTATATCAATTTCAGTATTGCGATTTTTGTCTGTCTCAACTTTCAAATAATTGTACTTAAATAAATATATATAGTACAAGTTGATAATTTTTAGCTCACCTGGCCCTTATGGCATGGTGCTGCGTCCGTCGTCCGTCCGTCGCCAACATTTTACTTTAAACAACTTCTTCTCAGTAACCAAAAGGTCTAGGGTGATGATATTTGGCCAGAAGCATGCTGGGATGAAGGGCTACCAAGTTTGTTCAAATAAATGACCTTCATCCATTTTCAAGGTCACAGGGGTCAAATATGTTAAATTCTTTAAACAACTTCTTCTGAATAAGCAAGAGGCATAGGGTGATGATATTTGGCCAGTAACATGCTGGGATGAAGGGCTACAAAATTTGTTTAAATAAATAACCTTGATTTATATTCAAGGTCACAGGGGTCAAATATATTTTAAACCTTTTAAATGACTTCTTCTGAATAACCAAGCGGCCTAGGGTGCCTAAATTTGGCCAGTAACATGCTGGGATAAAGGGCTACCAAGTTTGTTCAAATAAATGACCTTGGTTTATATTCAAGGTCACAGGGGTCAAATATGTTTTAAACCTTTCAACAACTTCTTTTGAATAACCAATAGACCTAGGGTGATGATATTTGGCCAGTAACATTTAAACATTTAAACAACTTCTTCTGAATAACCAATAGGCCTTAGGTGCATAAATTTGGCCAGTAACATGCTGGGATAAATGGCTACCAAGTTTGTTCAAATAAATGACCTTGGTTTATATTCAAGGTCACAGGGGTCAAATATGTTTAAAACCTTTAAACAACTTCTTCTGAATAATCGAGAGGCCTAGGGTGATGAGATTTGTCCAGTAACATGCTGGGTTGAAAAGCTACCAGGTTTGTTCAAACAAATGACCTTGACTTATATTCAAGGTCACAGGGGTCAAATATGTTCAAAACATTTAAACAACTTCTTCTGAATAACCAAGAGGCCTAAGGTGATGATATTTGGCCAGTAGCATGCTGGGATGAAGGGCTACCAAGTTGTTCAAATAAATGACCTTCATCCATTTTCAAGGCCACAGGGGTCAAATATGTTTAAAACCATTAAACAACTTCTTCTGAATAACCAAAATGCCCAGGGTGATGATATTGGCCAGTGGCATGCTGGGATGAAGTGCTACCAAGTTTGTTCAAATGAATGACCTTGACCAACTTTCAAGGTCACAGGTGTCAAATGTCTTAAAATCATCAAACAACTTCTTCTCAATAACCAAAAGGCCCAGGGTACTGATATTTGGCCTGTAGCAATCAGGGCTACCAAATTTGTTCAAATGAATGATCTTGACCCACTTTCAACCTAATGTCATTGTTTGTCATTTAAGGTCACATTGATATTCTGCCTGTAGCTGTATTTTAGTCCACTTTTAAGATTACCAGTGTGAGATTAATACCAGGTGAGCGATGCAGGTCAATTGGGCCTCTTGTTTCAGATATCTAGAGATTGAAACTTTAAGCTCCAGCCAAACATCTGTGATTGAGAGTCTTTCTAATTAAATATTTTATGAAATTGAAAAGCTATCTTTAGCCAAATACCTGAGATTGAAGATAAACTGAAATTGATCACAATTGGTATCAGACTTAATCTACTGTTTTTGATCTACTTATACTAACTTTTGGTGCTTTCCTTACAATTTTTTGTAACAATTTAACCAAGCACTCTCAAAGTCAGTGTAATCTATGAATATTCAAACTAAAAGCATTTGCCTACATTTTGTAGCTGGAGACCAAGGTTTCTTTCGGTTTTTAGGTCACCTGAGACAAAGTCTCAAGTGACCTATTGCGATCGCCTTTTGTCTGTCGAAGTCCGTCATCCGTCGTCCGTCGTCCGTCATCCGTCGTGCGTCCGTAAACAATTTACATTTTCGACTTCTTCTCCAAAACCCCTGAACCAATTTCAATGAAATTTTGCAGAAACTTTCCATGGCCAAAGGTCAACAAACAAAGTTGCCGGTTTGGTTCCCAGCCCTCAGGGGCCTGAGGGGCGGGGCCAAAAAGGGTCAAATTGACTAAAATTTCAAAAATCTTCTTCTCAAGACCCAGATATGGCAGAATCAAATGCTCTTCATAGATGGAAGGGTCTTAAGGTGCTTTACCAAAATTGTGAATTTCTTGACCCTGGGGTCTCATGTTTCCCCCTGGGGAGGGGGTAAACTTTACTATAGTTTATATAGGGAAATCACATTTTGGACCAACATTTGTTTAATTTCCATTGGAAGTAATTCAATTTGGGTTAGCATTATCAGTATTAGGTAGCAGTTTGATAGTATG